AGATGACACATTAAGGTTAATGAAATGCAAGTATCATGTTCTATCTATTGTTCAAAGTTGTAGTTAGCTCAGAAACTCGCTAAGAAACTTAATAGAACTGCAACAACTGTAATGCTTTTGGTGCAAATATTTATCCAGAAAGTATCAGTCTGTATTTCTTTAGTCAAGCTCTTCTGGTTTTCCCACTGAAGTGAATCAAATCTGTATTTTACTCTGGTGTGGATGTATATAGAACAAGTTCAGTTGTGCTTTTCTAGGAGGTCTTAAAAGGATCATGAAAATTTGTCTGGAAAAGAGTTCAAAGTGTATAAGTTGGGTTTGGTTTAGTTTTTTAATGCCATTCTGTGGGTTTTTTGGAACCATAGAGGATTTCTTGAGAAATTTTGGTATGTATGGATTCTAAGCAAGGCAAGTACAGTCAGGTTTGACACTTTTCCCCAAGTTGGCTCTTAAGGCCAAGTCTCTTTAAACAGACATTGTCTTTTCAAATGTCCTGGCTGAAATCCTACCCTATTAAAGTTAATTACTAAATTCCCCTCACTTCAAAAGAGGCAAGATTTCAGGATACATGTTTATAAAACATTTCTTTACAGTACCTCAAGTTTTCAGTCTCTTCCTACCTGCCTCTTAAGCCTACCATAATTTATCACCACACACCTAACACTTTGAGCCACATCTTATAAACCTTTGCAACCACATTCAGAAGACTTTTGCAGATTTCTAATATTTTTGTTTGGCTTCTTAGGAAAACAAGGTTTACACAGTCATGCTGCCTGTTCCTCTGTTTGTTTGTCCCATTGTCTTTTAGCCCGTTTTCAATTTCAGCCAAATCTGATGGAAAACATTACATCTGTTCAAGGTAATATGCATGTAGTAGAAATACCCTGTTCAGTGCCACTTCCCTGTGGGTTCAGATGTTAATGATTCTGTTCACATGGCTTGCCAACCAGCACACACTGGGCCTAGACATTGCACAGTGCGCTCTAGGTCTTATGCAGGGGAGTCAAATGGCGTGGGATGGGGTTAGAGTTTGAGGTTATCTGGGCACAGGTTATGATAACAGAAAGCTTGCTGAAGAAAAACTCTCTAAGACTCAGAATCAGAGCTTTAGAAAGCAGGCATTCTTTATTACAGCGCTGGGCGCATGGGGGATGGCTCTTCCATAAGCGTGCACACCAAGCCCCTTAGATTTACCACCTAAATGCAGGTACCTTATACATATTCATAGGATTGCACAACACCAACATACATATTTACTATTAAGGCGTGGTTAGTCCAAAAAACTTTATCAGCAGTTTTAAAACAATCATGTCACTCTTGCGCCTGTGCATTGCCTCCAGGTGGGGGTCCTCGGGGGTCTTCAGGAGGAAGGCCAGTAGTCTTCCTCGTCACCTTTTCCCCAACTTTGAAATCGCCAGCCCCTAAAGCCAGACTCCTCTGACTAAATCTTTCGTTGTCCACCTTATCTCGAGTGTGATGTCCATTACCTTCTGTGGCCAGGGCCTGGGCCTAATCCTTTGGGTCATACAAAGCACATGATCTTTGGTTGCCATGGTTCCACATCTTCTGTCCTTGGGGCCTTTATGTTTATGCAAGTTTCTTTCTTTGTTCCTAAAGCTCAGAAACTCCTTAGCTTAAACAGACAACTCTCAGGCCTGCTACATCCATCTTACTAGTTATGTACCAAATTTCTTAACACTGCATATATCAGTTATTCAGGGAAGATGGGAATGCAGCCCACCACTGTTAGTTCCACAGTCTCTGGAACAATTTGCTGTAACACTGCAGGCCAGGCACCTTAATCACCATGTTGTGATCTACTAACAAGAAGCTCGCTGACCCGTGTTGTGGAGCTGGCTGTGCACTACTGACGTGTGGAAACAAACTCCACAACTCGGATGGAGTTATAAAGCAGGTATGTTTATTCTGGCCGGGGTGCAAGAGGGTTTCTCCATAAAGCTTGCACACTGTCTCTGGCAAGCAGCCAAATATTTATTACACCAAAGCATACCTATTCATTAGGAAGGGCAGGGTTATTACAATTAGTTCAGGGAACAGGTGTGATTATTATAATTATTTAAGGGGAGAAGTATGTGGTCCTCTTCATAGTGTCCGCTCTTTCCAGGGCATGCCAGCTGTGACCCAAATCGGCAAGATCACCCTCCCTAGATAACACCTCTGAGTCCTTTTGTTCAAGTTTAAGTTCACCAAAGTGCCCATTCAGGGCTTTAACTCTGCTATGGGTAAGTTGTCCTTTTTAATTCATACACCCAGGCTACTTGCTACTTTCTTATCATAACCAATCCCCAAGCTATCTAGTAAACTACACAGAATCCACAAAACAAGTCTGGACAAGCAGGATTCTTAGAGCACGTTCAGAAATCATCCTACGTTGCTGTAAGTAAATAATTCGCAAGGGAAGTGGTCATTTCTCTGTATCACTACCACGTGGGAACAAGCCGGCGCTGTGAGGCCTGGACAGGCTGAGGAGTTTTACACAACGCAGCCTTCAGCGGTATGATTCCAATATCAGCACTGACGACACGTGACAGAGGGGGAAGTATCGCCTCCCACCACCCGGACCAGTATGTCTTTAAAACTTTTAAATCCGAGGATTTCAACTACAACCTTTTCAACCGTTGCGGTATGCTGCAAACCCGCTGAGGGAGGCACCGCTCCCCGCAAGCCCCAAGGGCCGCCAAACGTTTGCTCCGCCTTCACCCGGGAGTGAGCCCCGACGGCGCCGGGGTCCCCCAACCAGAGGAGCCCCGGCCG